GAGCTCCATTTCTAGTTGGGTTTCGGATGGAAGAATCATGAGCCTCCCAGAACGCGTACATGCACGCTAAAGAGCACAGAAAATGTTTGGCGACGACGAGAACCGTTCGCTACCGCATGCTCTATCGGGTCTAAACTCGTCCCGTTTTTACCGAAGCTCTGCCGTGCTGACAGCGTCGACGACGCTCCGGCCCATAAGTCAATCTGGTACTCGCACTTGCCTCCATTCCCCCAGCCATGGAGGAGGAAACGCGGGACCATTCTGCAAACTTCCAAACGGGCATTCAATTCTAATTAGAACACGTCCGCGGACGACGACGATCTCCAATGATTATTCGGATGCCTTTATTGCCGAGTCTGGAACTCTGATGCTGTCCTGGTGGAACATCGAAGCAGAAATTCACGACATCGAATTCTGGATTTCAGCTTAGTTGCTGGGAAACGGTTTGTAGCTGTGTACCAGTCAGTTGTTCAGTTCCTGAGTCGGTCAGCTGCTCGGCTCAGTCAGCAGTGGTCCGCTCGTGTTGCAAGGTCGCGATCCTGGAATTCTAACACTATCCATACATCATGTGAGCATGCACGCCGTTTGTAGGCTCGTCCGTTCGTCTTCTCTTGCGTTTCCGGTCGATGTTAAGAGGACCTGAAGTCATCGATCTCCTTGTTGCTGGGACGGCTGCCTTAACCGAACGAAATGTTCTTCCCGCCTCAGTCAGACATTTGTTTTCTGCAGTTACGTGCGCTGCGTGGAGTCGACTCGTGGACACCAGGGGGAAAGGCGTAGGGTACCAAAGAGTAATCGTTGGAGTTGAAGCGGAATCCCCCCTCCCTTGTAGTAGCCGACCAAACCCAGAAGGAGCGAGGTAACTGACGACAAAGCACCCAACCACATAACGCTCCGTCGGAGAAGGCGAATGAAAGAAGCAGGGGTGTCGGAAGCCACCAACCTGTGAAGCGACAGCAATTCCTCTACCTCTTTCCGCCTGATATGCGACAGTGTGCTTCCCTTTGTTTTTGGCCACCGTCTCCTCCGATTCAATGTGTTTCGTCCTGCGCTATTTCCGATTGCTCTTTTCACGACTCACATCCACGAGAATGGGCAGGGTATACAGACAAGACTGACGGATCGGCTTGGTTTGTCAACGAAAAAAAGCTCGGATTTTGAGCAATTCGTCTTCCTGCTTAGCAAGTTCTCGTCTTGGTAAATTGACATTGGCGAAAAAATCTTTCACTTCGTGAGCTTCCGAAAAGTCCCAGTCGAGGGAAAATCATCGAGAGACTGCATTCGACGCTCAGTGAAGTTTGTTCTCCCGGATCTTCTGTGCATTACTTGTATCGTATGAATATTCCCAAATCCGTCAGTCGAGATCGCTGACCCGTGACCGTGATGAACTTTGCGAGCGGAGGGAATCTTCGGGTCACTGACTCGATAGCGTGAACTCTGAGTTTCCGAAACTTTCAAGCGGAGTAGGCTCGACTCGCGTCGGAGCGCCCGTATCACCGTCGACCGGAACGTTCCCCAGAAAAACTCCCGCCCTCCTCATATCGTGCTTCAATTACAACTCTTACCAGCAGGTCTGAGGAGAGACGACCCGCCTAGGAAAAAGTGTTTGGCCGACATTTTTGGCTATGCTTTCCGAACAACACCCGGGAAACAGAACAATCAGCCAAGAAATAAATGCATGTTTCAGGCCGGCTGAGCAAATATCGGGAGGCTCGTCTACACCAGACGGACGAACGAGGCAAACGGAGGAAAACATGCTCAGCATAAAACACTGACGTATAGCAAACTAGTGGAAGTTCTCGGATCTTGCCTCACAGGGACGCCCGCCGGCCTCCGTGCAATCGCCGGACGGTGCTGACGGTCCTGCAAGGATATGATGCCGTTCCAGCCTCGTTGCCGGGTCGGATTGCGTCTTTCCTTCATCTGTCCATATTGACTGAGCCCTGTATTTAGCAGAGTTCGGTCTCAAGCGCTCCAGCTCTCGGACTAGAAATCCGCATCCTCATCTGTACATGTTGCTCCGAGAGAAAAGCTTCGGGAAACACAGAAGTGTGATTTATTTATTTCTTTGCAGCAGCAGTTGTTGTTGCCGCTGCTGCTGCAGATTTCTCATCTCCGGTATGAGCAGCATCTGGATGGAGACGATCTCCTCAAAGGCCTCCACCCGGCTCTCGGACGCGACGAGGCGCTGCTCGGTCGCGGCGAGCCGCTCCTCGGCCGCTCTTCTTTGGCGCTCGCTTTCCGCGAGCCGCTCCTCGAGCGCTCTTTCTCGCCGCTCGGATCCTCTGAGCCGACTTCTGTCCTCACGGATCATCTCCCAAATCGACTCCTCGCGTCTCTCCGCAGCTTCGAGCAGTTTCTGTAAGAATGAAATGTAAGCTTCGGGCGATCGATACGAATACATATCACTAGGGCTGTTTAAAATATGCACCAGAAAATCGGGAATATGCATGCAGTATTCACGAAAAATTGGGCCAAATATGCATGAAAATATGCACGGATTTTTTTCATTAGAGATCCTTGCTACAAGCAACAACAACCTATATCTTTAGATTTTCAAAGAGGAATGAGTTCCTGCTGTCTGGCACTATCGCCCTATACTGCAAGGAAGAACGCTCCGCTTCGCATGATGCCAGAGCCAGCTGAGCTCTCTCGAATGTCTGGCGGCAGTCTGAAGCTCAAGTCAGAGATTGCACAGCGTTGACGTTAGCACGCTGCCTACCAACTTCGGCAGTCAGAGCTGAGGCATTCTGAACTAATCTGAACGTACTCCATTTGACGGATTTTGCTCGGGCTCGTGAGGAGAAGTTGACATGCTCTCGATTTGAGATTGAAAACTCGGATTTGCGACAGAATGACGCGACCAGAATGACGCTACCAGAATGACGCTACCAGAATGACGCTAGTGGAATGGAGCTGCGGGAACGACGCGGAGCCCAGAACGACGCGAGCCCATA